TTATGATTCTTTAATAATATCCACAATAAATATTACACAATCAAAAAGAACAATTCTTACTAAGAAACGATCTTCTTCTTCTGTGTAGTTCTTCCCTTTGTTTGTTCCATATTGTATTCTTAGYTGATGGAATGGAGAACGATACCTTGACATCTGAAAACAACATTTGCAAAGAAAATTCAATGCAAAGGTTTGTTAGCTAATTGCTGTCAACTTTACTAGTTACAAAAACTAAAATAATGGATTGGAAGAGCTTTAATCAGTAACTTATAGTTTACCTTCGCATCAAGGGCTTTTTTAATACTGATTCTCCTTTGTATTTTACTTTCTCCTCTGTCAATCTGCGCCATAATGCGATCAATTTCTTGAAGTTCGTCATTCCTCTCCCAAAACACTGCAGCATAGATCCTGACCTRTCAATAGAAAATGAGAATATTCATATCTTTCATTAATGACAAAAAAAGGGATGAATAAACCTTTTTTACCTCTTCAGGAGTTTTGCCTTCTACTTCCTGGCAAACATTGTCCATATCATCACGACCATACTTCTCACAAGCTTTGATAAATTGATTAAAGTCTCTTTTGGACCAGTTGGTGAATCCCTAACAAAACAAAATGACAGATACATGTATAATTCCACTCAGAATAATTATTCACATCTAAAAATGTTGAAAACTCTCAACAAATAGACTCCTTAATTTCAGATAGTCCTGCTTTTCACAACAATCAAAAGATAACTCACCTCTGTCAAGAGTTGTTCTTTTTCTTCAATCTCTTCTTCTGTCAAAGGTTCAGCTTCGTCAATGAGCTGTTGTGCTTCTTTACGCTTCTCTTCTCCCTCAGGATCATCAGGGTCTAGTGGAACCTTATTCATCAAGAACATTAGTAAATTWATACATTAATAAAGAACTATCATTATTATCATTGACATTATGACTGGGTAATCCCATCCGTGACAACAATAATTGTCACTCAAAGATATCAACATCATAAATGTGAGTACACACTATCATCACCATTGTATGTCTTACTGTATTGTTACCTCAAGTACCTATTCCTCTCATGATCACCATAATTACAACACTGTTTACTAATAGGTGTGCAATGAGTATTATCAGAGTGTGTACCTTGTAGCCAATACTCTTCCTAAATGAATAAATTTCTTTATCTAATAGTTCAAAGAGTCTTGGAGGGAAAAATTGATAGTCCTGSACATTGGGCTGTCTTGGTGGTCGTGGAGCCTACAATGATAAAACTCTTACAGTCATTCAACTGTTAATCAGGTCTGGTATAACATCTATCTCTACTTTGTAAGAATATGTYTCCATAATAAATCACCAAACAATTCTGAGACTGATCATGTCTGGAGCTAAAAATGATAACTAAACAAGAAAACTAAGAAATGAGATGAAATAGTTACCTTTGGTGCTTTAGGTTCACTAACTCTTAATGCTTCTCTGAAGTATGCATCTACTGCATAATTTGCCTTGCGYTCACGTTTGGGTGGCTCAATCCATCTTGGAATACTTCCTCCAGACTAAATGTATTCATATYATGGTACATTTTAAAATAGCATCAATTATAGTTATGTAATAGTTCTGATTTGTAATTTAGCACTGTTTAACAAGCATTGCAGCATGCATTCCAAGTGGTACAGCATGAGCATGCATAGGATTTGTTTTTAAAACATTTACCTTTTGTTTTTCTTTGTAGTCCTCTCCTTCAAAATGAAAAATACTCTCAACAGGAGCATCCATAGCAAGTTTTCTCAGTGAACCTTCACCAAACTTCTTCATCTTTTCTTCCATCTCAGCTGTCTATATTAACAAATTTAAAAAACAATATGGCAAAGCCTTACACTAAAGTTAGAGGATATGAACACAGGTTTCACTTCAATCCAAAGTATTTAGTAAAGTCAGACATTGAGAGAAACAAAGCATCTTCTAAATCATTTCAGAACTAACCTTTCTCTCAGCTTTTTGTAGAATAAAGTCAATATCATCATCAGTGATATCTTCATCTTTAGAAGCAAACACTGCTTCAGCCCCATGCCTGATCATATTCAACATTTCATCCTTACTGACTTTGATGTTTGGATCCACAAGACGTCCTAAAAARTACATTCAAATTGTTAGTTTCTTAGGAAAGGGTTTAAGCATYGTCTTTCATTCAGTGTTTGATCCTAGGACCAGTTCTGTTGTTTATACAGTCATAGCCTTTCTGTCAGTAGCACTTCAAACTATAGTGTAAAAAAACCTTGTTGGATGACTACTGCATCTAGTCGAAGCTTCATCTCAGCACGTTCAATAATTCTATCCTCAACAGTATTCTCACTGATAAACCTGAATACTTTAACTTGTTTCTTCTGGCCTATTCTATGAGCACGGTCCTGCAAAACAATAATACAGACACACTTTTTTTACTGTTCATTGTTACTACATTATGAAGACAGGATTTTTATCATTAAATACAATCCCTCTAATCATTACTATACTCAGTATAAAGAAGCATTA